TCAGGCAGTCTTTCATTACTGCACTGCCACATAGCAGGTTTTTTTGTGAAGGTAAAGGTAGTGAATGCTCATGGCTGAATCATCGGCATGGGCAGTCCAGTCCAGATCTTCTCAGGACTAGAGGAAGGGTTTCATTGCCCACAGATTGAATGTGTGACATGCATAGGAGCATGGCTACAGAAAATGGCTGTACCACCGATGTTGGTGTGAACAGCTGCTATTATAACTAGTGGATCTGGCAACACAGATCTTCTAGGTATTCCTTTAGGCGCATCCTCAAAGTGCACCTTGCTGAGACCCAAATAATTTTAGACCTCAGTTTAAGCACTTAGAAACTGGAAAACGATTCAGAAACTGATGTTTCGGTTAGTGTACAGTCACTAGTGTACAGTCACTTGTCTGTGTTGTGTGCAATGCTTTGGACCACAATACAGTTTGTACCTCCCAGAGTATAATCCTTTCATTTTGAGCTTTCACTGTTCTAAGATTGGTTATTTAATGGAGTATTTAATGGAAATAATGAAGTATAGTGATGAAGGTCAAGGAGTCTGGTGGAGTTGGCAAAGAAGGGATATATACAAATATATAATATTTTTCAGCTGTAGATACAGGAGTTCATTAGTATATGTTCAGCACAAACTGGAAAGTTTTTCTACACAGCCTTAGAGAATATATGTTAAATATAACGTATTTTAAAAGTTTAAGACATGTAGAAACTGGTGGCTAAACCCATTGAAAAAGAAAATGTCACTATAATCCAATAAAAAATGTTTTTCAATTCTTTTTTAATGATTAGATGTGTCACGTCTAGTTTGTGTTGTATAACTGAAGTGTGACATGCAAGAAATTATATTTAATACAAACATATTAAATATTTCCTTTTAGGTTCCACTATTGCCATTTTTGCCATCATTCAGTATCCTGGTAAATATTTACTTGATGGTACAATTAAGTGGAGACACTTGGATCAGATTTAGCTTCTGGATGGCACTTGGTAGGTACTTCTGTTCATTTCAGTCACCTCTTACGTTAGGACTCATTAATCCCATCTTAGAACATTTGATTCTCTTCCTTTAAATATTTGAAAAACAGTCTGTGTTTTAATAATACTCAGCTGATATTTCTGATCAAAACAAGAGCATGCCTTAGAAGGGGTATTTATATGCAGTCGAAATTGTAAATACAGTTTTGAGGTAATAGGAAGAATAAAGTTATAGGACTAATTCCAATAAGCCACAATTTCTTTTTCCTAATAAGTATAGCTAAAATTGTGCTGAGACCTGTTTGTAACAGGTTTCTTTCCAGTATATCAGTCATTCTCCTTTAAGATATGGAAAATGGTATTAATTTCATCTAGAAGTAAATTAGAGGTAGTGGTTTCCATGACCTATTAGAGCATTTAATTACACAAAAATGATGCACTAGAATTTCCATAGAAAGAGGGAAGACCTGAAGCATGAGCTCTGATTCAGATACCTGAAAAAGAAACTTGTTTTGGAAAATATGTTCAGCCAGAGAGTAAAAACTACTTTTTAACGCACTACTTGCCTGAAAACCCTATTAACTTTTTTTTTCCTTTTGGAAGGCTTCCTCATTTACTTTGCTTATGGCATCAGACACAGTCTTGAAGGTCATCGTAGCGATGGAGATGACGATTCTTGTTCAGAAAATAGTGGGCTGCAAGAAAAGAACCCTGTGGAAGAAGTGGATGAACCTGAAAATGCAAATGAAAGTGATCAATTTCTTGCACATGAGAGGACAAGTGAATGTTAATCTTTGCAAACATACAAGTCTTTTAAACCTTTAATTGACATTTTACTTGCGGACTGAAATTTCAAAAGCTTTCTGCCAACATTGTGCCTCTTGAAAGTGTTTACTACAAGGCCTGGCTGATATTTTGGACAAGCTGCTAATCCATCTTCATCATTTCAGAACTGACAGCATGGAGATTAATATTTAAATTAAAAAACAAACAAGAGAAGTACCCTTTGGCAAGCAAAAATTTCAATGCATTGTTTGAACCATCATCCAAAATCACTGGCAATCACAAAATACGAAGAATTTTAGAACTGCCTGCAAGAAGTTCTGAATATTTGACACTGCATTGTGAACACAAGTGCCTTTCGTACCTTCTCCTCATCTCTGTTACATGTTTTGGTCACAATCTAATAGTTCTCTTCTTTCTACAGAAGTAACTCTCATGGGAGATAAATTGCAGACAGGCCTGGAAAGTATTTGCAAAACGAATGGTAATTGTACAGATCTCATACTTTGCAAAAAGTAGAAGATCATGTATTTATACAAAAAGAAATAATTGCTTACGTTTACTAATCAGTAGTTATGGAGAACTCAAACAGTAAAGATACTTCAAAGGCTTTTAGTCCCTCTAAATAGTATTCAAGATTTCTACTCAGGTAAATTCCTTTCCTTTCAGAGATGCTGTGTGTATAAAATAATACTCCCAAGAGGAGCTACGTTGTTTTCTGCAAAAGCATCTGGGAAATAATCTGTTGGTCACAGTATTGACCAACACAGAAATTCGTATGTGATTTAGCAAGTATTGTGCTTTTGATTTCAGAAGGGCCAGGATTTTATCCCTGATTACATAATTTGGTACTTACATACAGCAGTCATCAAGTTTTCCTCCTTACTACTCATTTATTCTCCCTATACTTTCTATTCCTTTATCATGTGCCAGAGCTGATATTTCTGAGATTAGTTGTTACACATTGCTTCTCCTCAGCAAAAATAATACACAAAATCCCAGCCTTCTTTTCAGATGGAAGGAGAGGTTAAAAAAACAGAGGCCCAGGCTTTGGAAAAAACAGTATTTCAGCGCTTCACTAAGCCTTAAACATACGTTAGCACAGCAGTTTTTCATGAGCCAAACCTACATCCACAAATCCATTCATGTGGGTAGCCTTTCCAAATGCTAATTTATGTAAAGAACCAAATTGCTGCAGCAGTGCTGGGTGAACAATTATTTTAAAGCTAATGAAAATGGAAACTGTTCTTTCAACATAAAAATCATGTTACCTGTCAAAGGCACCAAGATATTTTAACACTTTTTCTCAGCAAGTAGTAGGCTGAAGTCCCATGAAGGATTCCACAATGTGAAGTTATTTTGCAAGGATGTATTTATAAAAATAACTTCCCTAAAGCAAGAATTGTCTTGGGCTTTGTCATGGAGAATTGCAATCTCTTGCCAGTGCTAATCATTGGTATTAATCTCTATTGATAGGTATAAAAACTTTAGATCCCATGAGAGCTATGTTGGTTGACAGTGAAAAGCACCTTACTTTTTATAATAGCTGGAATTTCACAGAAAAGAAAAAAAAAAACAAAAAACCACAAACTAGTTAAGCTGCTTCTGTCTCTCTCCTGTTCTTTTTCACAGCAATAGATTCACACTTTTTAATCTTAAAACGACTTCTGTTGTTGTAAGAGAGTAGCGTGCCTAAATGTTGAAGGGCAGAAGGAGAAGTGCTTCTTGATGGAGAACCCTGCAATGGGCCGGTATCCCACCATGGAGCAGGTCTGAGGTTTTCAGCCTGATCCTTTTTTCTCAGCTTGAACTGGGAGGAGAGGGTCCTGCCGTGCTGGCAGCAGCGAGTGGATAGATGTGTGCTGCTGCACCAGTGTCCTCTACTGGCTACTCAGAATTAGGAGTAGCAATCTGAAAATCTAAGAGGCGTGCAAGAGGTAAAAAGCCTACCTCTTAACTGAGGTTCCAGCATATACATCCTCTAACTGCAACTGCTGTTGTCCTAAGGACTGTTGTTCTAGCGATTGGTGGTCCTTAAAAATGGATGGGACACAGAGGATGAGGAGAAACTATAGGTAGGTGGCAATGGGATACTGTTTTTTAATATACCCTAATCCATCCAGAACTGATCATAAGTTATAGCCACTTTTTTCCACAATTCATCATCGTTTTACAAATGCCATTAAAGAAAGACTCAAATCTCACATTAGACTAATACAAGTAGATGATATGCTAAGTAAATATTTGGTTGATAGGAACAGATAGGAATTCTCAGGGCAGTTCCTAGACCTACTGATAATTTTCAATACCTCTATTCAGTGAATGAAAGAGCTGTCTGTGTCAGTTGGATCTGCTATTTTAATTGTACTTCTCAACTAGGGCCCATTTTTATGCCAAAAATGACAAAAGAACTATACGTTCTTGTTTGAAATATTAGAAATTTAAGACTTTCCAGGCTCTTGAAAGGAATCCAATATAGTAATTCTTAGATATGTCAAAACAAAGGTTTTATTTATAAGTAACCAAAAAATTGAGTAAATGAATGTGTGTTCTGTTGGTTTTAATCCCACAAGTATTTGAAATAGAGAAGCTGATGCTTTTCCTGATCAGCTGCACCTCTGTCAGGAGCACGGCTTCTTCAGTGGTTATACTTTCAGAGGATGTTCTTAACCTGTCTTGCCCAGTACTCTTAAATCCTCAGCTGCAAAAAACGCCGTTGCTGTGGGAGCGAGTCAGCAGTGCTCAGGCAAAGCTTTTGCATGATGCCTTTACAAGCCCACAGTGAAACACAGCTCTTTTAAAATCCCTTACACATCTCGGTGTGTGGGAAGCAGAACTCACTTTTTTCTATGGTTGCTGATGCGGCAGAGCAGGTGAGCCAGGCTCCCAAGATGCAAACTGCTGCTGTTCTGTGATGTGCAAGGAAGATCCCATTCCCTCCCAAGGCCATCATATAGAATGTGTGTGTGCACGCCCGTCTATATGTTTGCATCTGTCTGACATTAGTCCATAGTGATTTTGATGTACTGATTAAAATAATTTCTATACTGCACTGGAATTTTCCTTTGAAGGGATACTGTCAATATAATAAACTTCTGACTAAAGCAGGTGCTAGCTAAGGCTTCTGGAGATAGAGAAAATAAATTTTCCAGCTTATTTACCTAATGGATGTGTCAGCACCTTGTGTATTGACAGTTTCCCCTTTCATTTTTATGACTGTTTCTCCCCTCTTGTTAGAGAAATTAATTATATAAAAATAAAAGAATGTGCCTGTACAAATGTTGCTAAGGGAGATGGGAGCAGCTGCAGCACAGGAACTATCCACTTAACTCATGAGATAGAACACGAAATTAAAGGAAAGTCATTAGGTATTCTCGGTTGCTTCAACTGCGCAAAGCTTATTTATATGTGTGTATAGTTAAAGTCATTATTAGTCAGTGGCTGAGTAAGAACACGACAAGCCAGAAGTAAGATATTTATGCTAATTTTGGTATGCATTTGTATATGCAATCTTGAAATTCCAGATGCTTTAGTGGGACTTTGCAGAAGCAGGCCGTGTGAAGGACAGCCATGCTAGTCTTTACACAGGAGCCGTGTATGAAACAAATCCTGATTTTGTTCTCGCGTTTGCTGTATGTCTGTATTTGCTGAGAGAGCAGCTGAAAGCACAAGTCCAGTGGAATTAAATCGTTGTTATTTTTTAACATAGTTGTTGATACTGTAAATTTTTCTGTGCAGGTAATAACGGTATGTGTTAATACAAAATATCTATTATTGGAGGTAGCTTATTGTTTTTTTCTTCCTTTGTGGAAAAAAAATCCTCCAAAACATATATTTGCATTGGTACATTCTGGATGTGCCTTTAGATAGAGGAATTATTCTTATCTAGTTGGATTTAAGAAAGTAAGCCAAAGCATATTTAAGGGAGAACAAATAAATCTTTTTGTTCTGAGGGATAAGAGATAAGATAACATTTCTGTACAATTCATGTTAACCAAAGTGATCTTCTTGTGGTATTCCAGTCCAAATTCTGCCATAGGAAATTTTGTGAGGTATCTTAGATTTCATTGTCTGTTATCCTGGATAAAACTTTCTGTTAATAATAGTATGCTTTTTCCTGCACAACAAATGCCGGTTAGATTCCTGAAATCTGTCACATTATGTTTATGTCACCATGTGTTAAAGCCATTTATATTACCTGCTGTTAGAGAATTATCAGTAATAAATGCCAATAGTAGTGATAGAGGGTTACTTATGTACTTACTTATGAATTTAACTATGCCATCCAGAAACTTCAAATGATACAATGAATTTAGAAGCAAAACTTGGTAAAGCTTAAATATATTTTCTGTATTTAATTAGATGATAAATGTAGAAGTCTAGCCACCTTTCCCCTAAAATTTATGCAAAGATATATATATTTTTAAGAAATAAAAAGGCATACTGTTTTCATGGAGGTTTAAATAAGTGCCAATATCAGATGTGCCATAAGCATCCTGAGATACTGAAAGCTGAACAACCTGAATGAAATCCGTGACAGTGGAGGAAATCTGTGTGGGACTGTGCAATCGTTTTAATCAGGTGGGATGCCTTTGACATTGAGGTGCATTTTGTATAGTAGGAATTTAATTCACATGATGGCTGGCATGTGTTACTTGATTACATAAAAAAGAAAATAAAAGCACCTTTTAATGCTCTTGGGCCCTAATTCTTCCTAGACTTGCCTGGAAGTTTGTACAAATTGCAGTATGCTCATTGAAAGCACTGGGATTACTCACGTGTTAATGCAAATACATATTTTAGAGAAAAAGCAGGTGGTATAGGATCTTTGTATTTGTTTTTAATTTCCTGTACTTTTAGTATTTTTTTCTGGTATATGTTTTGAGGACCCCTGCATTTTTAATAGTTGGACCTTTCCAAAGCTAAATATAATGCCTTTTCCATCTCCTGATCTGATTTCCATTTGATTTTAGAAATCAAACTCCTTAACATTAGCTAAGTCAAAGGACTTCTGTGCATAGACATGCATTACAAAGAACTATGTATATATATCATTATTTTTATTGTCACTTGGTCAAATTCTGTTGTCTTTGTATGTTTTCATTGAGCTTTGTGCCAGGTAAACTCCAGCTTCACCAGTAGAAGTTTAATTGGAGTCAGGACAAAGGATAAAAGGATTTGAATGTTCAGGAGGGCTTTTTTCTTTTGTGTTACCAGAAAGTAAAGCATGAAATACGTGTTACACATCTTTAAAAAAAACTATGTGTGCATCATTTTAAAAAACATTACTGTTCATATCCGTTTGAACTTTTCCTTTTGTTCATATGTACATTGTAGTGATTATTTCTGTATTATATGCTGCTGAGCATTTAAAATGTAGATAGAATGATTATGGCCTCAAGTTGCGCCAAGGGAGGTTTAGACTGGACATCAGGAAAAACTTCTTTACT